CCCCCAAAATCCCCAAAATCCCCCAAAATCCCCCTAAACCTCCCCAGATCTCCCCAAACCCCCTCAGAACCCCGCTAAATCTCCTCAAAACCTTCTCGGGAACCCCCAGATTCCTTCAGGACCCCAAATTCCTTCGGGACCCCCCAAATTCCTTCAGGACCCCAAAATTCCTTCAGGACTCCCCAAATTCCTTCGGGACCCCCCAAATTCCTTCAGGACCCCAAAATTCCTTCAGGACTCCCAAAATTCCTTCGGGACCCCCCAAATTCCTTCAGGACCCCAAAATTCCTTCAGGACTCCCCAAATTCCTTCGGGACCCCCCAAATTCCTTCGGGACCCCCCAAAATTCCTTCTGGATCCCCCAAATTCCTTCAGGACTCCCCAAATTCCTCGGGCCCCCCCAAATTCCTTTGGGCCCCCAAAATTCCTACAGGACCCCCCAAATTCCTCAGGACCCCCAAATTCCTTCGGGACCCCCCAAATTCCTTCGGGACTCCCCAAATTCCTTCGGGACCCCCCAAATTCCTCGGCTCCCCCAAAATTCCTTCGGGACCCCCCAAATTCCTTTGGGACCCCCCAAAATTCCTTCGGACCCCCCAAAATTCCTTCGGGCCCCCCGAAAATTCCTTTGGGACCCCCCCAAATTCCTTCAGGACCCCCCGAATTCCTTCTGGACCCCCCAAATCCCTTCTGGACCCCCCAAATCCCTTCAGGACCCCCCGAATTCCTTCGGGCCCCCCAATTCCGTTCCCGGCAGGCGAGTTCGGCGCCGTGCTGGAGGGGACGCTGCAGCAGGACTCGGGCGCGCTGCGCGTGGCCGTGAAGACGATGAAATGTGAGCCCCAAAATCCCCCAAATCCCCCCCAAAATTCCCCCCGAAAAAGTGTCCCCGGATTTGCCCAAAACGGCCGGAATTCGCCCCGAAGTCGCCGTGGGCTCGCCGCGGGAGCTGGAGGATTTCCTGCGCGAGGCCGCGCGCATGAAGGACTTCGACCACCCCAACGTCATGAAGCTGATCGGTGAGTGGCGCCCCGGAATAGCCCAAAAATCACCCCAAAGTACCCCAAAATCACCCCAAAATCACCCCAAAATCACCCAAAAATCATCCCAAAAATCACCCCAAAATTACCCCCAAAATCACCCCGAAATCACCCAAAAATCACCCCAAAATTACCCCAAAAATCACCCAAAAATCACCCCAAAGTACCCCAAAATCACCCAAAAATCACCCAAAAATCACCCAAAAATCACCCAAAAATCACCCAAAAATCACCCAAAAAATCATCCCAAAAATCACCCCAAAATTACCCCAAAAATCACCCCAAAAATCATCCCAAAAATCACCCCAAAATTACCCCAAAATACCCCAAAATTACCCCAAAAATCATCCCAAAATCACCCAA